GAAAACTCAAAACTTTGTCTTGGGAATATATATATATATATATATATATATATATATATATATATATATATATATATATATATATATATATATATATATATATATATATATATATATATATATATATATATATATATAGCCTATATCCAGATTAATTTAACCTAATAGATAAGAGAGTGGTAATCGGGGTAATCTTCTGGTGATCTTATATAATTTCCTTCACATCTTCTATCATGAACACTACCATCAACCCTGACCTGGATACCTTCTTCCAACACATGTGGTGTGACGTCTCCACCTGTTATTAGGAGACACAGTCACGCAGCTGCTCACTCCAGTATCGCACACGACGGTACACCTGACAATTTAAACAGGTATTATCTTCTAATTTTGATAATGAATCACCTTAAGATTAGCCCCCCTGCTTGTTTCACTTGATCGTGTGTTAGCTTACGATATATTAAATTAGGTTAAGTTAGATTAGGTTAGGTAAGGTAATTTAAAGTTAGGTTAGCGTCATGGTGGTTAATCTTAAGGTGAGTTAAATAGGGGCTGATCGTCAGGTGATCCAAGTATTGATACAATTCGTAGGTCATGAATATTGACACCTTTAAGTACCCGTTAAAAGAATGTGTTGATTACTGTAGATAACACAGGCGTGAAATATGAAACGGTATCAGTGGTGAAATAAATGTCGTGTAATTGCCAAGTTGCTATGGTTACAGTGTGTTTACTGTGGCATCGTGTGTCAAGAAACTGCCATGCAACGTATAATTGGTCGTTGTCATAGTTACTGAGTGTTTACTTTTATGTAAATAAGGTAACGAATTATGGCGGAGTGGGGGGTTAGAAAGGACGCTGACGTGGCATACTGTGACAAGGCAACTTCGTGCCATATTATACACGTGCGTGCTTCTAGTGCCACGTAACCTTCAGCATCGATCGTAGGTGGCCTTGAGTTGCTTGGTGGTGCTGGCACGGCAATTGGTCCTTCCGAGCACGTGGTGGTGTTGTCTTGGGTGGGGCAGTGAAGGTGGAGCGAATGGGGGAGTTGGGGGAGGGGGAGTCAGGGAGGAATTCGCTCCTGGTACAATAGAATGAAGGTGGGAGTGAGGTCCACGCGTAGGAGGGAAAAGAGAGGGGGAGTGAGAAGAAATAGACGCTACTTAGGATAACTGATCTAGCTAACTAATCCATCCATGGTTTCTTGAGTGTGAATATATATAACTTAATGTCAATTCATCCTCTAAAACGCTAGATGTTAAGGAGTTATATAATATACAGTGCAGTATAATTATGTGGAGGTCATATAAATAATTGAATAGTTTACCCAAGGGGACTTACGTAAGGTTAACTGATACCACTTGTCTTTCTTTAGTCTTGTTACTTACTGTACGTGTTTCCAGCATTGTACTCGGAAGCAGTCTGTGTTTGTTTACATTTTGACACTCCTCCCCCTCTCCCCCCAATCATTGTGAGGAAGTAGATAGAGCACTGTAATTAGTTAATTATGTGAGGGGGGAGAGTTTACTAAATCAGTACATTACACAAGCTCGATCACCTGAAGCTTCGCCCCCAGTTTATTTCACCTGAAGGTTTTCCCCCTCCTTTTCACTAGCTTACCTGAAGATTGACCACCCTACTGCTACCTAGGGGGTTTAGATTAGGTAAAGTAAAGATAGGTTATTCTTCAGGTGAAATAAATTTGAGTGGGCTAATCTTCAGGTGATACCAGAAGCTTTACACGAAGGATGAGAAGTTTTATAAAGACTAACTAACCCCTTCCCCCTTTGTCTCGACCTTTTCTTACAGACTATCGGAGAAATGATTTTAGTTAGTTTTTGTTGAGGACAATGTTACTCTGTTGCTGTGTTACCAGAACTTTTTTCCGTTGTCAATTGACAGTCCATCGGCCTCACAGTATACGTCTATGATCACACATGTTCCAAACACCTGTGACAAGATATGTTTTGCATTTATTATTTTATTATTAATTAATTAATTAACATAGTTCACCAGCTTCACAACACTATATCTCTACTTGACCCAAAATTTTATTTATTTCGTTGAATTTATTATTTAGTTTTCGGATTTAGTCGCGTGTTGCAGCGTTTTATGAGTAAATCTTTAGAAGCTAAGACCTTGGCTGCGTCCACAACGTTTAAATGGAAGACGTGACCAAACAGAGGGGTAACTTAGTTTATCTAGCGATGGCGCGGAACATTAATACGGGTTGTGTCTATTTTGGGAAGGCGGGAGTCTCCTCTTATGCCTAGAATATACAATGACGTGCTCTCTCTGAAACTGAACAGGGAAATTTTAAGGATATTCGATCCCTCCCCCCCCCCTTCCGTGTGTTTGTGCTTAAACCTTTAAACGTATACAGGTTTTAACCAGTAGGACTTTAAGTTAGTTTTATATGTACTAGGAGGTTTTGAGGTAAAAAAAAAAGTCTAGATGTGAGTTAATGCCTTAATGTTGAGTGTAAACCAGGAAGCGTCGCCTTTAATAACGGAAAAAAAAACTTGCTGCGTGATAATAGCCGGGCCCACCTACACACACACTAGTGGCAGGGGTCCTTGGCTAGATGTACCTCATGTCTCTGTACAGTGATGATGCCTTTTGTTCTCACAGTATAAGTTGACAATGTCTCCATCATGACCTACGACCCAATAAGGCATAATTATAAGAATATTAGAATTATGGGATCACAATTATCATTTTAACCTAACGTGCATGCCGAACAAGTACCTTATACCGAGTGTAAAAGTATTAACTTGAATGAATGCCAGGCAGTTTTCAAGTGTTGTTTATTCCCCTTTGGTAATTTGATGTTAATAACTACATAATACTGATACTTGAGTTGTTGATTAACCAAGAATATTGCCTTCTATCACACGACTTGTTTGAACATTAAAGTGATGGAATATCGACCATGGCGTAAGACCTTAACTTAATATGAAACAGCTGATGTCGTCGTAGGTATTGTACATTTATGACTTGTCTCTTGTGTAATACTATTATGTTAGTAGTCTCTGCAATTCACTTACTAACATCATTACACCACTCACAGTCTCTGAAGTAATCAGAATGTTGCAAGGAGATAGAACACTAGTTCACTGGTATAGACCGTGGTAACTAAATTGTTGGCGTTGGCTGTAAAATGATGCTGAAGTGTTGTGCAAATCATAACCAGTCATGCTTCCGTCTACCTTTTTACCGAGACCAAAAGAATGCATTATGAAAGTTTATATATATATATATATATATATATATATATATATATATATATATATATATATATATATATATATATATATATATATATATATATTAGTGCAGCTATACTGTAAGAATCTTAAAAAAAAAATTATTTCCCAATGCTGTGTGCAGTTTAATGTGTCATATTAGGAGGCGGAAGGCGATAGTGAATTTTATGTATCCTCAATATTCAACCATTGCTTGGATGCCTTGTTGCCTGGGTGGTGATCAGTGAGATGGGTGTAGTTTTAGTAATGATCATAGCTGGGTACCGGGTGTCTGAGAAAAGACTAATGACTATCGTACTGTAAATTCTTCAATAATGCGTTGGGCTTTTAAAGCAAAATATTGTATATCCATTATCTACGCCCGAGTTACTTTACGTTATGAACGGTATTTATGACGAGGTGGTGAAACATTTATCTCTCCCTCAGTAAATCTGCCACACCCAAACCAAACTTTTCCTAAATTACATTATGTACTGATGCTTATTCGCCTACTATTTGGGTATACAGTTGGTTTTTTTTATATGTAATTGCTCTTATGTAAACATCGGTGAGTGCGTAAAAGGTCTGAAATATTGAAATTATGAATGTTAGTTATACCTAAAATCATTATATTGTACTGTACTTAAATCATCGAAAGATTAATCACCCTAAAACTATTTGGGTAGTTAATCTAAGTTAATCTTAGTTTAGATAAGCTGAGGTGGAAATTCTTCAGGTGATTCATAATTTTGAAAAAGTCTGAAATCACGAAGTATCGGCAACCCAGAAACACATGAAAATAATAGAGGGTTAAATAAATGTAAAAGTGCTGTAGCAGGAATGTCAAGTAAATAAAGAGCTCATGACGTTATTAAGGACAAATTGAAGCTGAGAAACCTAAGTTAGCAGGAATGTGAGGCTTATTGAACGAAACATATAAGATTGGGGGAGCATGTGAGTAGAAAGTGCAGTATTAAGAACAAAAGATGGCTAATGGTAGTCCTGTGAGTGAAGGATGACCAGAAAAAAGTCAGTTTTGGCTAGGTTAGGTTACGTGACTTTTTTTTATCTAGATTCGATTGAGGTAGACCTAATGAGTGCTGTTGGATACATCGGTAAGTGCATAAGTCAGAAAAAGAGGTTAGTTTAACGGATTTTATATTATTTTTTATTTGTATCTGTATCTTATCACTAGATACTGTAGATAATGGGCCTTATGTAAGTTAGTTTCTCCAGTTTTAGAATACCGGTACAGTAATGACCACACCTTCATTGCTTCTGTGAATTGAGATAACCACCAAAGAACCACAGTTGACTTTAGCTTGAATAAACCACGTTGTGATTATACTAAAGCAGTGCTCAGTGGGTCATTCCTGTTATAGTCATGCATAAATTAATGATGGCTTTTGTGAATTAATTAAATTGCACTCTCATCACACAATCTGTTTTTTTTCTTTCCAATGTATTACAGTATGGGTTCCATGACAAAACCCCAACGGGGTTGTCATTTGTCAACATTAACCTAACCTAACCTAAACATAAAAGTGTTTTATTTTATATATGAGACTGGGGTTTTGTCCATTGGGGTTTTATCCGGTCACCACAGTATGGACAGGACTAATATGATTCGCTGAGTGTTGTCCAATCTGTAGACCTGTTTATTGTACTGTAATTTGTTTGTCCTTATTTTTGTAACCATATTATAGTTCATGTTTATGCTAATACACCTTTAACATATATTTTTTTTTTCAGATGGAAATCTGCTGAAGACATCTTCTTGTCAAGTACTGGTGGAAACATTTTGAATCAATCTATGGAAGCTGATGATGGAGGTGGTGTACGTGAGGTGTCGAGCAACCCCAACCGCTTGGTATCCTCTGTTTCAGCATATCCCCTCCCCAACACCAACACTGTCTCTGCTGGCATTATTAATGCAACCCCTGCTGCTGCTGCTACTGCTTCTGCTGCTTCTACCTTTACCATATCTTCTACATCATCTTCTTCATCTACCTCCACAAACTCGTCTTCTCACTCGAATATTCAGCAACAGCTTCCTTCAGGAATGGTTAACACTAGTTGCCCAAATACTGAATATACCACCTCTGGCTACCTCCATCATGGTTCTGACGCATCTTCTTCGACTTCCCCCAACACAGTCACTTCAACTGGGGATATAAATAATGCCCAGTGTAACTCTATTGGTGGAAATAATCCTCTTGACTTGTCTGGAATACCCCCTATTACGCAAGTCACGCTGCCCACACCAACAGAAAATGGAGAGGGTAGATTCAGGTAATTTATCAGCAAGCATTACCCTGTACTGTATTGTAAAAAATCTTTATATATGTAACTGAGTTTGTGAGGTTGGCTCATTTTGATCAGGTAGTGCACCAGAAGTAGAGAAGTAGGTTCATTGTAGTCCACCAGTTTAATGTACAGTGTCTTGGTTGTACAGGTATCACTAAATTACGAATCCCTAATATTGTTAGAAGGTGTGACAAATGATCCCACTTGTGTGTTTTTACAGTGTGTATCTATTGTGAACCTGCTCATTACATACCCTATCTTCCACAAGACAATAGTCTATAATTAGTAAATTAAAGGTACTGTATTAAGATGCTCATTAACTAATCAATTGACATCTTGATATGAGAATCCTCTACCATGAATACTTTTTACATTTGACTGTTATATGCTGGGTACAAAAATATGAGTACAGTACAGTATATATAATATCAGCTTTTAATGGTGAGTTCCATCACAAATTTCCCGCTAATATAACCACCAATTATCCTATGCAGTAATTATGAAAAGTTCCAATATCCCGTAGATGCCTCAGATATGATTAAATGTACTTTTTTTAAAGTTTCACCCTTCACAAACAGCATTTTGTTTTTACTCACAAAGTACTGTAGCTGCAAGAAACATGGTCCTTGATGAATGGCAAATGGTTTGACTACCATATTCAGTTTTATGACTTAATGGTCATCAGCAGGTGACCTCAGATTCACAGCAGTAAAATACCCTCAAGCCAACTCCTCAGTTGCCTGAGAGTTTAACTTGAAGAGAAAATATATTCTATCCGTGCAGATAAAGGTTTCCCTGCACACACTTGACATTCATATATTTTGAGCCCAGTTGTAAAAGTAAGTTAATGCAATAGCTTTAAAACAGAAGCTAAGAATCTTGAAAACATTCTCTGTGGAAAGTCTGGGAGATAATATTTCAGTTTGTCTTATTTCATTCTTGTTCTGACACAGTCAAGCATATTATGGGAATATTAGATGTTCTTTAGAAGCAATTTTTTTTTATGAAAATTGTAATAAATTTCTATCAGAATGGTCACCAAATCCAATTTTTTTTATGAATAATGTCAGTGATCAGTAGCATTGTAAGTCAAACCTTTGTTAAAAGAAATTCTATTAAAAGCAATGCTGTACCTTTTTAATGTTCACTGGCGTTGTCTTTAGGTGTGAGCAACAGAGTAGAGTAAATAAGTCTTTACAACTATAATGGCCGTACAATGAGATCTCCTTTAGCCAGAACAATTATTGGTACAGAGCACTTCTGGGAAGGAGAGATTTCCGGGTAACGAGAAGACTCTCTCAAAGCCAGAAAAAAAATCCCTCATCCTCAGTAAAAAATTTTCTCAGAAGTTACAGAAATTGCTCATTACATTATCTCTCAAAGCCGGAAAAATCCCCCATCCCCAGAATTTTCCGGGTAACAAAAATTTTCTCGTAAGTTCCATACCTAGAATTTGGGAACAATTTTCCAAGAAAATTTCAATTCCAGCTATTGGAGAGTTCCGGTTAAGAGGGATTCCGGCTAACGAAGATATTACAGTACCGGTACTGTATTAATCTCTTTACTTGGCAGACAGAGAATGAAACCCCCAAAACTGTAGTACTGCACTGTACAGGCAGTCCCAGTTTATGAACTAAAATTTTTCCTAAAAGTGTTGGTTAACTGAATCAATAAACCCTATTGAAACAATAATATAAATGATTGCCCACTACAGTAGTAGTGTTCAGTAATTGGGCCTCAGACACAAGTGAAAACCACACTTTTTAAATAAAAACATTATAAACACAGTTATGAAAACATAAATAAATAAATTGATACAGTAGTATGAATAATAATAATAATACTGTACCACAACATTGCACTGCTCAATCAAAGCAGATGCATTATGGGAGGACGCTTGTGTGTTGAAGTGGTGTGTAGTATACAGTACTCCTGGCACACAATGTTCATTTTCCAGCATTCAAGTATCCAAATTCCTGCCTTTTGCCAATTGATTGTGATGTTTTTTAAAAGCTTTGTTTGTATGAGCGAAACAAACATTAAAAGATTAAAACATGATCCTAAGGTGTAATGTTCATATGCAGTACTGTACAGTACTATATGCAAACTTGATCATGGAAGATACAATGAGAAAATGAGAAGTGCCAGGCTATTATCTTTATCCATACTGGCCATTAAACCATTTTTAAGTACTGTACTGGTAATATTAAACAGTAAAGGAAACCCATTAATCTTAAATTTTTCCCCCTAAAGCTTCAAATGATTTCACTCAACAGCATGACCAAACCACATGAATGGAATGGTTGTGCCTCTTACTACTGTACAGTAGTAAGGATACAGTACAGTATATTAAATCAATTACCCTGATTTGTCTGGGTGGGGAGGGTACTATCAGTAAAACATATATCATTAACTCCTTCTACTGATGTGGTTCTCACTGCTTAATTATTTCTTCCTTCGGGTCATAAAATGAGATTTCACATTTCAACCCTTTATTGGTGAAAATTTGTCAGAGCTGCACATGAAAATTATCAGAATTACACAAGAGAATGATCAGAGGGAACATGGTGAGCGCAGCGAGCTGTAGGTGTTTTTTATTTGGGGGGGGGGGTGCTGCTGCTGTAAGCTCCCCAGAAAAAATTTGAAATCTGACTGGTACCATGGGCATTTTGAAGCCATGCAGACTTGAAATGGGAGATATTCTGAAGTCAATAGTAAATACTTTTTACTATACAAAATTGCCTGAGTACAATATTTCATTAAAGAAAAAGTATTGGAATTTTCTGGTGAAAAAAGGGGCGGGGGGTGTGTGTGTGTCTGCGGATCCCCCCTCCCCCCGACCTTGCCAGCTGAAAATGAATGACTACGAAACCCATTTTACTGCTGCAGAAAATAATAATATTGTAGATAGAAAATAGAATTAAGGAAACTAATTAATAATTATCGATATTCTGGTTAGATGGAAGGCGAAAGATACCATGGGCATTCCTTACTTTGAGAATGGATTGGGTATTTATTAGATAAAGGAGAGAAGTGAGGGAAGAGGAGTTGCAGAAGAGGTTTGGCTGTGTCACTGCCTGAAGGAGTTTGTGCATGGATTGCTTTTATGGAATGTAAGGACTAGGACAAATTCCACCCATATCTTTGCTTTATTAAGTATTGATGTACAGTATAATTTTTTCCACTGTATTTAATTCATTCTTTCATACAGTATTTAAAAAATATACTGCAATGAAAATTCTGCACAGCATTTTTTATTTTTTTTATACGGTATTATCATCATTATTGTTTTAGTATTTGAAAGTAAAGCCAATATTTATTTTCTATTATTTCATATATTGTGAAATATTATCTGCTTTGCTTTATATTGGAACCAAATATGAATTTATGCCTTTCATTTCCCTGAGTACTTAAAAAATCAGGATTTAATGATAAATATTTTAGCATCATTCCACAGCATATTCCCTTCCAGGTCGCTACTTTTTCTTATGTTACGCATTTATCTACTTTGTAGTACTGTACTGGTAATTAGTCTTTTATGCTACATATTATATTATACTGTATAAATTTTTCTATACTGTACAGTAGTTTGTTACTTTATCCTACATTCATAAGGTGGTGGTGGTGCATGCAAGATACATCCTCAAGCATTTGGTGTGCCAGCCAGCAGTGTTCACATATAAGACTTCAAAAATATTCCCTGTAGGTACATGCTAATAGTTTAGTAATGTGATTTTGGTTAAAAAAAGGAAAAAAAAAACTCAGTCTTACATGTTACTGGAAGTTAGTGACACCTGCTTCACTAATATGATAGCTGTCACATCACTCATGGAAGGATTCAGGGTAAAACAATTTTTGAAGAATTTTTTTGCATTTGTAGTGACCTTGAATTTTCATTTGACTGATGTTGACCAAAATATATTAATATCTAGATGTAAACATAAGACTGAGGAAACTACTGCGGGCCTAATAGCCCATACTAGGCAGCCCTTCTTGAAAATCCGTATCACATTCGTTATCCTTGAGGATTCTGGTACTATGCCCATTTTTAATGAAATTTTGAACAAGTTTGCTAAGGCATACTAAGTTCTTCCTTACATTCCTTTAATACTATGGCAAAAATCTCATTGGGACTTGGCGAATAAGGACATAGCAACTTATTAGGCTTTAGTTTATTTGCTTGCTAACATTGTTACAGGTTATTACTAACTTGTTTAATCTATTTTATTCACTATCTCTGTAGAGTGTAGGTACCTCAGGTATCATGTTTAAGTTTGCGGCTGCAAAAACCGATAAAAAATATCTGTTCAGAATATTCCGGGTAGCTCATTTCCCCCTTCGTTATCAGTTAGCTCGCCTGTATGTGACTGTATTGGTTCAATCTTGTCATGTGTTGTAGTTTGGTACATTTGGAAGAAACCTTTAGGGTTTGTCTTCACCTCTCTTGCTTCATAATTTTTTTTTTCTTTTTTACCCTTCTGGTTAATTCATGAAAATAATTTTGGAGATAAACATCCCCTTGTTTGATCATTTTATATATCGTACTGTATAGTCTTTTTCTATCAAATGATGTTCATTAAATACTGAAATTATTCATCCATTTGGGGTCATTGATACTTGAGTTTACTATACAGTATACTCTGCCTTTGTGCATTAAGTAACCCATTATTTAATTTATTATGGTACTTGGCAACATCATATCTTATGGTTAGGTCACCTGGTAAGATTGAATCACACTCTGCAGTCACATTATGTGAGGTCATCATGGTCACTGGTAAGGTAGGGTCACCCTCTGTAGTCACATTATGTAAGGTAATGTTATTTACACTCTTGTGAGGTCATGTAATTCACACCCAAACATAACACTCCTTCCCTCAGCTGTCTTTTCAACCTGTCAAAGTCTGCCCTTCAGAAATATGGGATTTTAATGGTATTTTCCTTGCGACTGACATTAAGTCCTATTTTGATATTCTCTTCCTTGTTATCGTTGTTAGCTAGTTTGCTCCCTGCGTCAACATTCCTAATGAGGTTTTCTCTATTTGACAGAAAAAAAATTAGTTTATTATTCCTCTGTCTCGATGCCCTTCATATTCCATCCCAAATAAGTTGCCCCTCAACCCTACCCAGATTTGGAGGTCTATATATTACTCCTATGATTAAATTTTTCCTTACCATCAGTTAATTCTCTCCATACAGTTTCTGTATCCAATTTCAAATTATCCCTGACATAGATTGCTACCCCATCTCCTTTTCTGATATTCTTGTCAGTGTGAAATAATTTATATCCTTTAATTTGATATTTGACAGGTAACTCATGCTTGTCAAAGTTAATCCATGTCTCAGTGAAGGCTATTACCAGTACGTATATCGATATTTTCGGTACACACCAAGGCTCTGAATTCTTCCATTTTATTTGTCATAGTTCTACTGTTTGCGTAGTGTACATTTAATCTAGTCGTGATCTGAGTCTTCTCCTTGATGCATTTTGGGTTTAACTCCCTGACTGATATCGCTTTGTCATCATTCCTAGCACAATTTCTGCGTAACCTTCCAACATGTATCCCCATGCCTACTGCAGTCTTCTTGTCTCCCGTGCGTTCATATTCCCTTGGCATTTTAAAGACTTCAACATGGCTGTGTTTTTATTACCAGACATAATATTGTCCATCCTGTCGTCTATTAAGTCACCCACCTTAGCTCCTGGCAAACACACACTCATCCTCCTATTCCTGCCCTTATTACAAAAGGCATGATCCAAGTACCTTACCTTCTATGTCCACCTTATCCTTAACCCTCTTACCATCCATTTTGTCCTCCAGAGAACCAAAAGAGGATGGACACTTAACTGCTATATTGGCCTTCTTCACAACCAACCTAGTCGCCCCTCTCTTCACTATTGGTCGGTGGTGTCATCTTTCACAGACTCCCAGTCTCACATCTTCCGCTTTCAGTCTTCCAATCATTTCCTTCAGCACTCACATTTTTGTCCCTAACATATACCTGTGCATGCTCAGTCTTCAGAGAGGCTGTTCCCAGCTACCATTAGACATAGTAAACTGTCTGGTTAATCCCCGGGAGCTAATTTGTTATCACCTTTTCTCGAGCTAGGTCAGCTGACTTCATAGTTGTAGATAACGTAGCAGTAAATATCAAACAAATGCAAAAACTAACCCACCCAGAAACTAGTGAAATTAGAAATTCTCAAAGGTGTTGAACGAAAAAAAAAAATATTTTGGGATTGCTGATGATGTGTTGCCGGTTTGTATCTGGAATGTTTAAAGGTTGTGTGCACCACCCAGCTGTGAATGTAGAAAAATGTTTACATGGTACAGGTAGATGGATGAGGAGTTAATTTTTTGTTAAATTTTTCAGCAAAAGTCCAACGCCCAGTCCAAAGCCTAGTCCAACATTAATGATCCGTCAGACCTCATGTGATAGCAGTGATGACCGAGCAAATAAAAATGACACTTGCAGCTTTATATCGAGAGAAGGCAGCATGGAACGATCCTTTACTGAGGCGTCAGCTGAGCACCAACCAATTGAAAAGCTGGTAAGTGGTTCTTGTATGTTTTGTACCAGGCTGACAAAAGTTCAATTTTTTACGAGTTCTTGTAGAGGTTCAGCATTATTTTTTATCGGACACACATACACTTTAGAATGTCAGTCACCCCATCCTATCATCCTAAAATGTCCTTCATCTCATCTAACTATCCTAAAATGTCCGTCACCCTATACCAGGGGTCACCAAATTATGGCCCGCGACGTCAGTTCATCAGGCCAGCCGACGGTACTTGAATTTGCTTGATAAAACGTATGGAACATGAGACGTTGTGATACAATTTAAATTTAAATATTATGTTTAGAATACTAGGAGATCTTCACGCGTGCGGAGACCTCATGACTGCTATGTGCCTTAAATTTACTATTTTAAATTTTAAATTATTGTATCTAGATTTTCTTGTTTATTGTAATGTTTGCTTATTTCGCGCCATCCCAAGTCCTTCCCCGGCTCGTGCAAGTATTGAACAGAATGATTATGCGGCCCGCACTCGTCATTCTTTCATTTATCCGGCCCACTGTGAAAAAAGTTTGGTGACCCCTGCCCTATACTATCATTATAACATGTTCTTCACCCCATCCTATCATCCTGGAATGTCCTTCACCCCCATCCTACCAAATCCTTCTTGGTCTTCTCTTCCTCTGATCATCCACATCAACATTTTACTAACATTTTAACCTATCTTTCTCTTTTCATTCTTTCAATATTCTCTTAAGTTAGTATGAGGAAATGATAATGAATCATTGCTCAGTTGACTATCAAACTACAGTACTAAGAACAGTGTCAGCTACTAGTAATTATTTGTGTGTGTTGGGTTTGTTGTTATTTTATCTATTAAGTTATTGTTATCACGTGAAGATAAAGTTCTGGTGGTGAAATTGGGTTTATATACAGTAAAAGAAAAGAATACAGTTGTTCATTAATTGTTTAAGTTCAGTAAAATAATAAAAGATAGTTTGGGTATTGCGCTAACTTTTTTTTTGGGGGAGGGGGGGATGGTAAAGTACAGTACTGTATTACATTGTCTGTCTGTCTCTTATTAGTGAAGAGAATTAGAATGGCATTGAAAGCATGAAATTATAATTTTTATTTATGATTTTTTTATCCTCTTTCATTAAATTGTTTCTGTTTTCTTCTTTAGCTCGATTCAACCAGTAGATCATCTGAGTCAAGTCGTTCGGTGGAAGCTCCTCGCACACCAGAAATTGGCACCAACTTCAATGGTGTTCTGATTAAGGAGAGAAAAGAGTCAAGAGATTCAAAATCAGGTGATAAAAAAAGCAATAAAGCTTGGTACAAAATGTTGAACCCTACATATAAAAGTAGATCCGAAGATCTGAAGAGACTATTCAAGGATTTACCCTCCGATGAACGACTTATTGTTGGTAAGTATGTCTTATATTTATGCTGTAAATTACTAGAATTAATTATATTTATGTACTTTCCACTTACTGTCAGGGCCACACTTCCTGTTATAGATTGATTAGTGTGATTTGATAAGCCAGAATTAATACTCACTCACCAACCTTCACTCTAATTGTCCAGTTAAGGTTTATAACCCTTCTCGTACCTGCACATGATGGTGAGGATTTATTGCGTTATAGTACAGTATCATTTTCTCATTCCAGCATTTGTCCAGTTTGAAACTTTTACCAATTTTATTTGTGGTAGTGTTTGGTTGTTGCTGACAGTTGGGTACAGTAGTATGTTCTGGCTGTTTTCTTGACTTGTTGTTCTCATTTGCTTGTCCTTTTTGCTGATGTTATGATATTTTACTGCACTTCAACAACAGAAGGACTGTAACCCTTTGAGGAAAATGGTTTAAGATATAACTCTTTGATAATGGTGGTTTAAATTATAACCCTTTGAGGATGATGGTTTAAGTTATACCCTTGAGGACACTGGTTTAATTTATAACTCCTTGATAATGGTAGTTTAAGTTATAACCCTTTGGGGTGATGATTTAAGATATAAATCTGCAGATGATGGTTTAACCCGATAACTGCAGTAGAGTGATTCACCGATCAACCCCCCAGTGCTCAAACAAACTCGTACTGTATATCGATTTCCCCTGAATATCATTTTAATTCTTGTGGATTAAAAGATAGTATGTAGAAGAATGTGGAAACCAAATATATACACACACACGAGTCCATTACAGGTGCTCCTCTACTTATGAACGAGTTACTTTACTGAGGCTTGTTTGTAAGTCCAACTTTACTCTTGTAGATACCAAACATATTGTAAAAAATGAAAAGATTATGGCTATTTAGTACAGCTATACCCTTTAATACAGCCTTAAAACCTGGCTCACTCTTCTCCTCTTAGGTAATGTTTGTTCTATCTGGAATTTTCTTCAAAATAATCCGGTCTCATCCACATTAAACACCTGTTCTGGCAGGTAACCCCCCTCAGTGATGATGTTTGTATCTCTGAAAGTTTGTAAGTTGAACGTTCTTAAGTAGAGGAGCACCTGTACTTACCTGAGTTTGGCCGTGGTGAATTTGTGAAGTCAGTGGGTTTGGGGCTGGCAGGAGGTTGCACCATGTGAGGGTGGGGGATGGAGACACGGCAACCACTGATATGGAATCATGACCAGCGATTAGGAAGAAGTACTTATTTACCATATTTCCTTATTTTCTGGAAAAGTGCTTTATTTTATTCACTTGGGGATTATTTTCAAATGCGGAATGAACGAGAAAATCACACATATTGTTTCTTCGTTCTTTATGCTATTTACAACATACCACAGAGTACTCAATAGATTATAAAAACTGTAATGATCTGTATTCCACGTCTGTCTATTGCACAAGAGTAACCGCATCACATCAGTTTGCCAAAGTACAGGTTATTCATATTTGGTTGTGTTTGTAAATTTAGGTTAAGATGTAGTATTTATGAATGACTTAGAACAAATTTTATTACTTAATTTCAAGTAAATCTTGCTGCATAATAACTTAGAGGAAACTTTACTGCTAAGGAATTTCAAATAAATTTTACTAGTTTATTCTGTAACTTATTCCAAATTTTACTGCTTAACATCTGAAAGCAAATTTCATCACCTTGTACCCCTGAAAATGATGTTAGAATGTTGCAAAAACACTACAAACAAGTGATTTTGCCTTCGGGTATACTTCAAAGAAACAGTAATGCTATATGACTTGTTTGCACGACTGTCCTACATGACGATGGCATCAAGAAAGTGTATGAAGTTGAGAAAATTAGCAGAGACTCATTTATTTGACAGTTTAGTGATGGTAGTGAATAATTACAAAGCATCTCGGGATGTTTTAACATTTTTGTGAGACTAGAAGCATTAGGTCTGCCCCTCTTCACTGAGAGTAGCATAAACTTGGTAGATAGATAGACGTACACTGACAGATAGATAGGTTTTTTAATATGGGTACCAAGATAAATTGGTAGATAGGGAAGTAGGTGGAAAAACTTTTAGTAATTCATTCATGCCTTTAAAGTTGTTGAAATTTAAGCTCCTTGACAACAGTTAGCGGAGTTGTGGCGAGGTACAAACATCAGTGTTAGCATTGCTATTTGTGATGGTTGTTGTTGTAGGCCTCCTGAAATTTTGTAGTAGAAATGATTTTCCCAATTTTGGTACAGGCAATGTTTGTTTTCTAGGTTAAGAAGAAATTTAAAGCTATAACCAAAAAAACTATTGTTAGCAGATAATAGAGTAATTTGAACTTTAGTATTACATACAATTAGTTTAGGTAATAACAAAGTTACCTGTTTTTCTTCTTTTTCAGATTACTCTTGTGCATTACAAAAGGACATACTGGTTCATGGTCGTCTGTACGTCACTCCAAACTACTTCTGTTTCTACTCCAAAATATTTGGATGGGAAACTTTTGTAAGTACTGTAGTCTATACCAGTTGTAGTACATTTGTCTTAATTAAAAATTTACATAGAAAGGTTTTCATGTTAATTTTATTAAAATCTTAAATTCAGAAGTGGAGGGTAAAAGAAAGGGAGGACCAAAAAGCATATGATTGGATGGGGTGCTGGCTTTACTGTACAGGAAGTAAATGGACAGCATGCAGTGGTGTTGATGCATGACTGAAAATATTTGCATCGAGTGATTTTGGGGGGAATATTCCTGTTGTTCAGGTGTGATGGTGAATTGTAGAGTAAATTTTATTTCCAACAAAATCTGTGCTTATCTTTTATTTTGCAGCCTTTCCTTCCATTCAACTGGGCCGTTTTTTCTCATTGTAGAAGGAAAGGAAGAGAATGAAGACTTGTCTTTAGCTGACAGATCTCCATGATTGGTATATATGACAACAAAGAGCTGTAACTCACACTAGCTTGTTGGATAAAGGTTATCTTCGGATATGTTCAGCTAACACACTTAAGTGTGGAAAGTGGTCATAAAAATGTTGCTGCTAATACCAATCAGCCCTATACTGTACATGTCATATAATGCTTCACGATTTTGTTGAAAATTTTTGTACAAATTGATTCTACAAACTTAAGATTGTAGACACTCAGATAGACAGACAAACTGAATGCTATATCTCCCTCCTTTGTCACGAAATGGCTCCTCAGAATGATTGGGTAAAATGTTTGGTGTTGTTTTGATTGAGTGAAAAACAGTTATGTCACAGGTAAAAATGGGAAATTAGGTTTACTATACATCAATGGGAGTGAAAAAATATTTTGTACAGGATTCATAAGATAAAATGAAATAATTTGAACTTCAGAAAGGTTTAACTTTTTTGTGACTGTTAAATAAAAACATTATAGTTCTTGTTTTTGTGAGAAAATTGTGTCATAAATGAGAGGTGTGAACTAAACTTTGAGTGTTTAGGCTCTGAATACCACCACAACAATTCACTGACATACGGGAGGTGTGTGTGTGTGGTTGTGTATGCATTATAATGTTTTATTAGCAGAATCACTTTGTTGTATTGTACTGTATACCTTAATTAGTTTAATGAATAGATAAGTTATTTACATCCAGGTGTTTGTGATACTTTGAGCACACGTTTCTTCCCCCTTACAGTGAAAAGTGTACATACTGTACAGTCACTTTCTCTCAACGTGAAACCAACCTTACAAAATACTGTACGTGTAATCTATTTTACAAAGGATTTTAATATTCTAAATTTGAAATTTATGAATGTAGAATATTTACTTTTATTTAATTTACTACATATTATTTGAAATTGAACAATTAGACAATTGTATCAGTGATTGTGTGTGTGGTGGTGTCTTAACATGAATTTGAAGAGAGTAAGTTTTATGGTGATGTAGGAGAATGGTGACACATTGAAGGCTTGTGTGGTAATTTTTTTATGCACACAAATAATTTACGTACTTTGATACCTTTTCTCGGAAGAGTTCAACCAGTTTTTAACCCTTAAGCCCTGGGTTAGGGTACTGCTGGCACCCGCTGGGTTAAATCGAGAACAAAAATCAACTTAAAAAAAATAAATAAAAAAATGGCGGGAAAATACGCGGACGTTCTGGAACGTCACCCGGAGCACGCTAGTCGGACGTTCAGGAACGTCACCCGGGGCCTAAGGGCACTCAGGTGGGTGAGAGGCCTGGCTGACGTGGTGTTGCCAGTCATTACACCCTAACTGCTGCAACCACTCAAAGCTGAGGCATGTGCCAAGCGAGAAGGGGGGGGGGGGTGGAGGCTTGGAAGCGGGACGCCTGCGTGCCACACCTCACCTCGCCCGACCCGCCCCCCTCTCTCCCAGGACAAAGGCAAGACCATGTGGAACAATTAGGTGAATTGTGCCATGCCTGGAGGGCGGGGCGGTACTACTCTGGTTTATTACCTGCTTTACTTGAACACATAATTCATTTTATGGAAGCTTCTTGGTCCTAAACTTTTCACATGACATATACTTCATTGTACAGTAATAATTGTAAGTGTTATTTATCAGCCCCTAGAATTCAAAAAATTGAGATTCAGTCAAATATATTTCAAAATTGTGGCCACTGACAAACAAAGTAACAATGGATTTGTTTATCATGAGCCTGATATAGTTAATATTTAACTTTTTTAATTTTCACTTTAAAGTATCTGTGTTATCAATGTGTTTCATGTGGTAAATTTTACTTCTGAGGCTTTAGATAGCATTATACATCAACATTTAATTGCAGAATATAAAGACAAGAAGTTTAATAATAAAGGTTATGCTCTAGAATAATTCAAAGCACCTCATTCTTCTAGCCACATCAGCTTCATTAATAAAATCTGCTCTAATACGTGGTTGCAAAATTCATGTAACCAGAGTACAGACAATACAAGTAATGTATATAAACTGTATACCTAGACAGTGAAGGTATACAAATAATGTACATTTGCACTGCAGGCATATAAACATTGGCAAACATTAATTGTGTATTTTCTCCTCCTCAACAGGTCTCAATCAAAAGTAAGGAAATAGTAGCCATGACGAAGGAGAAGACTGCTTTAGTAATTCCAAATGCTATTGAGATTCGAACAGAGAGAGAGAAACATTTCTTCACCTCTTTTGCTTCCAGAGATAAAACTTACCTAATGTTGTTTAGGATTTGGCAGAATGCACTAATGGACCAGGTACGTTCATGGGAAAATTGTTTATACAATTTATTTATTAAAAAAAACAACTTTTAAACCTGAAAATTTGCCCAACCCCTTCTCATGCTTATTTCACCTGAAGATTAACCATCTTAACACTAGCCTAACATAACCCCTTTTCTCCCAGGTACCATTAGGGCAGTTAATCTTCAAGTGAAATAGGCTGGGACGGTTAACCACTTGTGTCCTGTATGGGGTTTCTGTGCTGAATAAAATTGTCTGGCATTAACAAAATAAAATATTAAAAGTGGTGTCCCTGTAGTCAGTGTAGTGCAATAATCTGGGATGGTTAAACTTAAAGTGCAGTAAGCTGGTGTAGTTAAACTTAAAGTGCAGTAAGCTGGAGTAGTTAATCTTCAACTAAAATAAGGTTGAGTAGTTAATATTCAGGTGATCTTTCTTTTCTTCAGAATTTCATAATGCTATTTTGGGAATTTTATTGTTGATATTAACCTTTACATAGCAGCAGGCTGAAGACCTAACACCTACTTCCTGTACCTCTTGTGTATATTAAATAATTTTAACAATAGCTATCATTATATTAGCACCAAATAGCCTTTGCACTGCACAGGACACACACACACACACACACACACACACACACACACACACACAGTCACACACTCACACACTCATATAAGAGATCACCAAAGTCACATGTAAATTCAATACGTACAGCTAAAACACACAATCACTATCTCTGAACAACAATAGCATACTGTAGACTCTAGTACTGTATATTCATTTGTACAGTATCACAATAAACTGTTCTTGCCCAGGTGAGCCCCAGCAACACCTTCCTCTACCATCCCAAAATTCCAAAAAAAAGCCTTCAGAAAAATAACAGGTTTTACCCAAAGCCATGTACATAAGCCACCTACATTCTGAATCAAGAATTCTTTGATATGAGGGACAAACAGTTGATCACCTTGGTTCAATATTCCACCCCACCCCAAAGACTAAAACTGCACCACAACAAAACAGTATTCTCACTTCCTGACTACCAATAGTATCCCAACCTGCATCTCCTATCACAGGTATTCACTAACACATACTATACACAATAACTTATCAACCCTCCTCCCCCTACATCCAAAGTCTCGATAGATCACCGGAGAGAATAAATTTCCACCAGACATCCACATCTCGACACCATTTTTCATATAGAAATAATAGTACAGTACATCTCACTCGACTGTGTTATGGTCACCTGCCTTCCCAAAACCCATACCATCACAAAAACAACTCGTCCAAAATCTGCTCTACCCACACAGCAGTGGTGCTTCCCACACTATGACTTATTTATTCACCCACTTTACACTTCCTGAACCTTCAACATAGCTACCATAAAAGATCTCTGGGAGTAACTGGCAGTTGTTTGCTTTGTGTCCTTGAGAAGCAGAGGGCAGTTGCACTGTTAGTCAGCCCCAGTTGTGCTAGAATGGGATGAATGTGATGGAGCTTTTTATTGTGATTGGCAGAGAGATTGTGTAATATAATTCTTTGGTGCTCTTCCATATGGCAACTGTCTGCTTTGTTGTATGAATCAGATAAAAAATGCAATTTTCATTTCTGAGTGGGGAAAGAATGAGAGTTTGATTCTAATTGTAATTATTTTTAATGTAACTTATACTTTCATTTATTGTTCAAATGAGTTGAGTTCATCAAGATCTCTTTCCCCTATGTAATATATGGTGGGCTGGCAGACTCCCTCCCATCCTCCTCCCTCCCTACCTCCATCTCTTACCCCTCTCTCTTATACCTCCCTCCCTTACACCTCCTTCACTCTCTCTCTTATACCTCCCTCCCTAACACCTCCTTCACTCTCTCTCTTGTACCTCCCTCCCTTACACCTCCTTCACTCTCTCACCTCTCTCTCTTATACCTCCCTCCCTTTCACCTCCTTCACTCCCTCACCTCTCTCTCTTTATACCTCCCTCCCTTACACCTCCTTCACTCTCTCACCTCTCTCTTGTATCTCCCTCCCTTACACCTCCTTCCCTCCCTCACTTCTCTTTCTCTCTCTTTCTCCTATAACTCACAGATAATCTCACTCAGTGGTCATCTTCTAGCCCCATAAACATGAGTTGCCATATGCCATTAACCCAAATAATGTGTGTATTATTTTGATTGTCGGTATTCATTATGTCAATTGTGTGTAATGTCTATACTGTACTGTATTTATATGGCTGTTATTGATCTCATAATTTTGTTTGGAGTGGATTAAGGGTGAGAAAGTGAGAAATAGTTAGAGTGGTTCAGTTGGTGGTGTTTGAAGAGAGAGAGAAGAAAGAGAGAGAGAGAGATCTAAAAAAAAAATAAAAAAGCTCCACATATGTTTCCTAACTTAATCATATCACAAAGCAGTGTTTGGAGTGAAGCCTTTGTCTCCACCTTGGCTTACAATTCCGTACTGTAATGTAGTACTTCACATCAATTCACAGTACACATATTGTATTTGTTGAGGACTCCTGTATACTGTACACCAAATTCTATCTTCAGTGGTATGGACCACCCACATGCCCACTATGCCCCAGCCACCCACATGCCCATGGTCTCCTGTGTGTATGTGTACTTACATTACAGTTCAAGCTGGCCAACCAATTCCAGTGTTAAAGGACTGTAGGCCTTACTGAAACAGACCCCATACTGTGTGCCTGAGTCGTAGGTGCCCCTTCACAAGACAATAAAATTACTTAGGACTTGGAGAAAACATTTGTGATTGTGATAACTGATTACCGGTAGAATTTTTTGAAAAACTTGAGATCAATTTGGTCTGGGTGTGTGTTGGGTGAGGAACTTAACTGAAATTGTGGATGTGTTTGTAGGTGGTGTTGGAGACAAGGCAACAGAAGTTATATGTAGGTATTAATCTCTGTGTCTTACCAAGAATATATGTGTCTGCCTCCATGGGAAATACCTATTATAGAAATATAAGATACTGTCCCTTTTATATTTCCATATCTTATATACTGTAATAACCATTAACCTGTGTTCCCTGAGTCCCTGATGGATGAAGTGATACTTTACTGAATATTGCTTCCTAAATTTTCACACAGACAGAACTAGAGTGAGATTATTGATATTAAAAATTTAATATAAAGTACAGTAAGCCCTCCTCCAATGCGGGGGTTAGGATCCTCGAAAACGGCGTGTTAGGGGAATCCGTGTTCGAGGAACTTAATATTTAATGAGAATAATAACAATTGGGGTAAGCCGCTGCATAAATTCTCATCAGCTGACTCACAGGCACGTGGCTGCCACCATGGTACACTGGCTTTGTGTATGTCGTGATGTCAGATCAAGAGGGAATGCAGCCACACAGTTACATGTAGCCATAACCCAACACCTCAGCACATTCACTTTCCACACTTACACACCCATGCTCTTCATTTTTCTTATTTTATAGCTTTATATTATATTTTCTTTATTCCTAAGCCACATTAAAGTACAGCTCCTCCACGACTTACGACGGGGCTAGGAACCCAAATCCAGGTCGTAGTAAAAAATAATTAAATAATACATGGAAAATCTAAAATGGGTGTCTCTTTTTTCTTCTCAAGACCACAAAACTCTCACTTTTAAGCTTGCCAGCCATTTTAAAGTGAATTACAAACAAAAATTTTGTCAGTACACAGTGCAATCACTGACGTTGAGACCCGAAAATATATAATTTGACAAAATTTTGGTACGACTGAGGCAGGTCGTAAGTGCGGTTGGTCGTAAGTCGAGTAGGTCTTAAGTCGGGGAGGAGCTGTATTGTCAAGATTTTTCCCCAACTTTTATAGTTTTATTACAAATAACAATATACAAAGCTGGTGAGTTGGCCACGTAGTTATTAGCCCAGGCCTTCGCGATAACACCTCCACACATTTTCACTTTCCACACAAACACACCCATGCTCTTTATTTTTTGAGTTTTATATTATATTTTCTTTATTTATAAACCACATGAGAGTATCATAATGATTTTTCCATAACTTTTATGGTTTCATTACAAGTTAACAACATATGAGGTGGGCAGGCTACTGCTGCTGCACCTATGCCACTTTGTAATAACTTATTAAAAATTAAAATTTTCTCTTCTAATGTCATCACTTTATGGCATTTCTTTACTCTACCATCACTTGGGCATAATGTACGTTTAGGAGCCATACTGTTTAAGGGTTTGTTTCCCCCAAAACACAGTAAAAGGAGCAAAAAGTATATCAACATGGTCAGCACTACTCTTTGCCTGACTACTGCTTACAGTACATGAGACTGACTCCCTTATTATTCAACAACCCGACTTTTAAACTAAACGAGTCCTGAGGGACAACGCAGTACAGTACTTAACGGGGTGGTGTGGCAGTAAAATTAACTAATTCCAATATATTATAATTTTTTTATTGAGATTAGTTCATTTTACTGCCACACCACCCCGTTAAGTACTGTACTGCGGTGTCCCTCAGGACTTGTTTAGTTTAAAACTTGGGTTGAAACATGACGACCCTCTTCAAGGGAAGATGTTTAATAATACAGGCGTGAAGGTGCAAGAGAGAACCACTGCATTATTGTGTTAATGAACCGCGTAAATTTGAATTTTCCATGTTCAGCAAATACATTAGACACGTATTTTTGCGTGTATCAGTGAATTTGCATTGTAGGAATACGTGTTGGAGAAGGGCTTACTGTACTGTCATTAAGATTATTACAATGTTGGCAAATAAGTGGTTAGTATTTTTTATTATTATTTTTATAAATACTACATCTCATGCACTTTATCCTGTTGTACTTTGCTGTCTGCAATTTCCGTAGCACTGTGTGCATCCCAACAATGTAGAATTAATAATTTTTGGTTTTACATTTTCTTTGACCATGTAGTTCAGGATATTACTGAAGTTATTTGCAACTTTCCTGAGAAGAACTCTCTGTACATATCAAGTCAGTAACTATGTACTCTGTTTATACAGTATGTTAACACTCCTAAAAGTCAGAATACAGTACAGGTATTGGCTTTTATTTCATCAGTGCTTTTTATCTCTTCCTACAGCAAATGAGTGCAACAGAACTTTGGCAGTGGGTTCATTCCAGCTATGGGGATGAATTGGGTTTGACAAGTGACGATGACGACTACGTAGCTCCCTCAACTGAAGATGACACTAAAACCAGCATTAACCATGGGCATAACGATCGTACTTGTGACTCCTCCAGCCTTAACACAAGCCTCAAGTTGTACAGTGGAGACTCGCTTGAGGTGAGTACAAATGATTGGTTTTTGTGCATGATACAACCTATAGATATTGTGTGGGTGTTGGCCTCTGTGTACAGTACAGTACAGTACTCTATTGTTGGTACAGGAAACCCTTGCCTTTTGCGGGGGTTAGGTTCCAAGGAATGGCGTGAATTGGCAAAACCGCAAATAGCAACTTATACAGTCCTACCATAGTGCACTACTTTATACCTATACAATACTGTACTGTGTGTGAGAAACTTAAGTCACCAATACTACTTACCTTCGTATGTGGAAATTTGAAACTTGATGAAGTGTACTGTACAGTAGGATGAAATCTGGTTACTAAAGCTCAGGGAGATCATCAAGGTCACTGTTGGAAGAGGGTGATGCAGTGGTTGTTGGTGTAGAGGTGGGTGATGGAGAGGTGCGGAGGTGGGCAAGCGGCTGGTTCTTTCTTGAAAAATATCATGGATTAGTAGTTGTTTCCTCTTGGCTTTTAGGTCTATACACATTTCCTGGTATGGAACCAATACCTGGTTGATTTCTCACCTTCACATGTCAAAATAGTTCACCAAAATTGTTCCATAATTTCTTCTTAATTTCATCTTCCTCAGCACTTTTTACCAACTCTTCCAAATCCTTTTTTGTCAGAAGATTAACCAACCTAATGGTTCCTTGGAGGGGATTTGGTTAAGTTTGGTTATGTTAGCATTAGGTAAGGTTAGGGTAGGGTAAGTTCAGTGGTGTAGTGCTGTGGGAACGTGTGAACGGCGTTCCCTCACTATTTCAAATAAATCCAAAACATACAATTCTCTAATGTAATGAAATTTTTTATTTCCACCCCTAAAAGAAATATGAGAAAGAATCATTAACTGTTTCAATTCTTTTTGCTTCAACTGAGGTAATGCTAGCCTATAAACTTTAAGGCATTGTGATTTTGCGGGATCGTCGCATTCCTTAATTATAAAAGACTCACAAAAATAATAGCAACTCCCTTCCATTTCTTACAGGCCGGCGGCCGCTCCCCTCACTTGGACATTAGTGTTCTCGGTTGCCAAATACCTTAAATCTGGTAAAAAAAATAAATAGGTTGTCTTATTTTAGTTTGTCTGCTTTATATATTTTTAAGTTAATTTATTCTAATTAGTTGGTATAATATATTCTCTTAATAAGCAGCAGAAATATTTGTAAATATTTAAAATAATGTGCATTCCGAAAAATCTGGCATACTCAGCATTGTTCAGTGCAATGTGCTGACACTGCTGCAGACCTGCAGTGCTGAGTAGGAATGCCAGTTTAGTTGCTCACCAAGTCACCTAGAAAACACACGCACTTGTCTTGACACTGGTGGAAGTCTAGAAGATATTATTGTACCTTTCAGTGGCGGCTCGTGAAAAATAAAATGGAGGGACTGCAAGCCTCACACCGAGTCCCCACCATACAATAAGCATGGAATTTCAGAACAGTACAAGCAGGAACAAAGAATATACACGCCAGTTTAACATCAGTGTTTATCAGAAATGTGAATGGCTCTGTGGCTGTGACGAGGCAAATACTTTATTCTGCTTTCCATGCTTATTGTTTGGTGGGGACTCGGTGTGAGGCTTGCAGTCCCTCCATTTTATTTTTCACGAGCCGCCACTGTTACCTTTGTATGTGTTGACAGAACTGGTGAAATTACATCGTGGCATTCTGAGAACCATAGCTCAATGTGAGTGATGTAGGCTTTGGTGGTTTACCCAAAATTGTCAAAAATCTTTATTTAATCAAACATTGTACCCTCAAAAATGAGTGAAAAATGAAAACAAGCGTCCATACAATCATTTAAAAAAAGTAATAGAACACAAAAGAAAGTGCAACTTGTGCAAGTGATTCCACAAGAGATATTGAGTGTGGAAAAGTAATTCCACAAGCTGCTACTTCTAGTGGTGTGTCATATTCCAGTGAAGTGACACTGCCAAGACAACATACAATTAAGTCTGCATGGCCTGAAATTTGGACTACTGAGATGTGGGAAGATAAGAAAAAGGCTTACCCGTGGCTTGTGATTGAATCCGGAAAAATCGGATGTGCAGCATGCTCTAGTGTGACAAGTCTAGGCCCATTTAAATCAGAAGGTGCTAGTGTTTCCAAAGAATGGAGTTCAGTTTCATTTTCTTTCGATGGCAGCACAAGATCAGTCCAACTATCATCCTTGAGAAAAAATGTTTGCTTCATTCAAAGTCGCAGTCACACATCAGTGCCGTTAAAATTCTTAAGAGTGCAAGGGTACAACAAGTTGAAACTATTGTGGACCGTTTAAATAAATCTAAAGTAGAGGCTACCTGCAAAATATTTAGGACGGCATACTGTATTATATAGCCAAAAATGATAAACCATATACTGACCATTTTGATTTGTTGCAATTGCAAGAATTAAATGACACAGACATTCCACAAGAATTGCGTTCACGATTTACTGCTACAAATATAATTGACCGTGTTGCACAAGAAATGAGACCAAGAGTCAGTAAACGTGTCCTTGAAATAAAAGGAAAAATAGCCATTCTAAGATGAGTCCACCACTCTTAGTAGCAAAACTATTTTGATAGTCTATTTGAAATGTGAAACGAACTAGTCAGATGATCCACATTTTATTTTCCTGGATTTGCTAGAATTACCTGATACAACAGCAAAAACAATAAGCGAACACTTACTTACTTGTCTTGCTGAGCATGGGTTTGGTCGTGATTTTCTTCAGGACAATCTTGTTGCTTTTACCAGTGATGGTGCCAGTGTAATGTTAGAGAAAAACTCGGGTGTGTCTTAACGACTGTTGTAGAAGTACCCTAATATTATAGTATGGCATTGCTTAAATCATCACTTGGAATTGTCAGTAACAGATACAATTTCTGAAGTACATGGTGTTAATCATGTTCATTCATTTATGGATAAACTGTACTCTTTATACAGTCAATCTAAGAACCAAAGAGAAATTCAACAGCGTTCAGTGAAGCTTGATGAACAGATGAAAAAAATTGGAAGGGTGTTAGGAACTAGATGGATTTCAAGCTCCTTCAGAACAGTTTCAACAGTTTGGAATGACTATGCATCTCTGTGTTATCATTTTGAGCATGTTGGCAGTGGCACTGATAAAAATCGATCAAAAGTTGACCAGTGTACCTTCAGGGGGCTTCATAAACGCATTTCATCAAAACAGTTTCTCCTTGATCTGGCTCTTATGTACGATATATTATTTGAATTATCTCTTCTTTCTGAGTCCTTACAGAAAAGGGATATTACTATAGTTTATGCAGACGAGTTAATTCGTTGCAGCATACGATTTTTAGAAGCAATGAAGGAACGCAAGGGTAAAAAAGTCCTAGAAGCAGTAAATGCCATTAAGCAAATGAAGTTTGCATCAGTGGCACTGACAGATAACAACAAGATTGTTTCAATCAATCATTGTTAGTTTTTAACCAGTATCATAAACAATATGAAACGACGGTTATTCACTTAAACTTCTTCCCACGAATCAACAAAGTCACGACCAGCAACTTCTGACTCCATTCCAAACATAATTTCTGAGCTGGGTATCTTAGAAGTCGATAAGTAGCCAGCTGAGATAAATCCAGGATTTGGAGAAAATGAAATGGAGTCCCTGTGCAAACATTTTAGATTGCCATTTTCAAAAACAATCACAGCATACAGAGACTTTCTAGACAACGGTGGGCGACATATTCCGCCAGACCTGAAGCCTTTAATCGGATGTTCAAAAGTAATCCCCTGCAGCTCTTTGAATGCGAACGAGGCTTTAGCAGCATGAACCTTATCGTGACGGAAATGAAGTCTACACTGTTAATCAACCGTGTGAGCAATCTCATGTTTATTAAACTTCACGGTCCTCCGATTCCAACCTGGAAACCAGACGACTACGTACACAAATGACTTAGATGTCATCGTTCAGCAACTGATACACAAACAAAAATAGCCAAGTTCAAGGATCTCACTGAGGACCCAGTTTGGAAATTCTGTTAAAAATTTCTCCAAGACTGCAAAAGTTCAAGGTGAGCCTAAATAGAATATTTTTTTATATTGTATTTAATAAATTGTATTGCTTTGAGACTGTGGAATCATGATAAGCTACACATCACCATTATCAAGTCCTGCGTTAGCAGGGTTTGGTATCGAAACTGGGTGTAAAAATGTCGCCCGTGTGTATAGTACAGTAGGATATAGGGAGCCGGAAAGTTCAGCTTATCTGTCTGTCATCAAACTCCTCCGACACAATGGGACCACTTGTTACCAAAATTGGAACATAGATTGATTGGACCTATGCGAGGGTCAGTTAGGCATTGATATAAATGATATTGTCCCCAATGTTAATGGCCACCCACCACCAACCACTCTTTTGATCCCCCAAAATCAGTCAGGACCCCCGGTTGTATGGGCTTGCTGCGCTCGCCAGTGCCCCCACCATCTGAGTAACACTTTCAAAATGCGTTCCCTCACTTCTTTTTTTAGCACTACACCACTGGGTAAGTTAGGTTAGGTCAGTGAAATAAGCAGAGGGGCAAATCTTCAGGTAATTCCACTCTGATAATTCAAGCTATAATTTATACATCCAGCAGTGTATGCGATGTTGTAAATACTGTACTCTAGTTTTCTTTATATTACACATCTTAATATGAAGTAGATTTATAATTATATAAACAAATATTGAAAGTCATTAAGTGCTCATACTACTGTACATACTAAGTTACTTTTGCTCTTATTTATAGTACAATATTAATCCCTTTATTCTCGAGGAATTATTCTCATTATTATTAAGTTGTCTGGTAGATTAAGGTGTTGAACTTCCTGGCAATAAACACATACAGTAGTACGGTACCTGAACAGTACTAATGATAAGTGACTGTCTGGATGCAGTTATTAGCAAGTTACACATGTTGAAGGAGGAATAAATTTACAGTATAGTCTGGATTTACGTGGTTTTTGTTTACGAGTTTGGTCATGTACGTGGTGCCTTGCCAGAATGAAATG